ACAGATAGATAGATAGATAGATAGATAGATAGATAGATAGATAGATAGATAGATAGTTTCCCCTGACATCTTTATGATATGCACCAGCATCAGTACTCCAGTTCGTGCAGGCTGGAAGGATCACTGCAGCGTCTTAAGTCCCATATTGGGAGCATGATTAGGCACAACGCAACGATTACGCAAATTATGTTGCAGCAGGCAGTGTTTCGGAAACTCCGAAAAAAAAAACGCTTCAAAAAGCTGTGTTTTAAAAAATCCCCCAAGCACGAAAAAACGCGTCCCAATTTTAAAAACGCCTCACATGACTCACATCCCGCATGAATGTGCACGCACCGAAATCTTCCACAAATATAACTTCCAATTTTTTTTTTAGAGGAAAGAAAAAAAGAGAGGGGTTGGAGAAGATGGATGTACGAGATACTGGTCACCTGGATCGGATTTCATTTCGGAGTTATTTCGGTCACTGATGCCCACAATTAAACACACACTGCCAAGGCGAAGGGCTGCATGCTGTAGTTTTTTCTTTTAAAGCCGAAGTTCATTTGAGAGAAGCCAGAAGAAGCCCGTATAAAGACGACAAGAACAAAAGAGTGACATGAAAACAATGGATTGTGCTCTTACCTTTACAAGGGCTGACAACCACTATGTGCGTGGTTAGATCTCCGCGACCAAGACTTGCATGTCCCAAAGTTTAACGCAGTGTGGGGGGGCTTATAGGTACCGAGAATGTGGTGTGCAAAAGAGCAGACGAACCTAACATTTCAACTTTCACGATGCTCTAGAAAAAAAAACACATCTTAAAGCACAAGCTCTTTTTAAAATGGCAAGCGCTTTTTGTGTGTGTGTGTTCTGTTTCCTCTTTTTTTGAAATTGCTTCCCCCCACTCTCTCTTTCTCTTTAAAATCCCGTTTATTTTCCGTTTACAGACCACAGGCTCCCTCTGAATAAGCTTACCAAAAGTTGAAAAAACAATCCCAGGTTTGGCAAAGGGGGGCTGGGGAAAGAGAGAAAGAGAGTTGACGTCCACTCGGCGGTTTAGTCCATGCACGACTCCGGTGCCTCTGTCCAACGTGCTGAAAGCATAACACAGCCAGGGTAACTATGAGGGGCCAAGAAAATATCTATATACTTTTGTCTGAGTGCCCACTTTAAACTGCCTTTTTTTTTTACTCTGCTGCTTCCCCGCGTCTTGTCACGTGTATTTGCCAAACCAGCCCTGTTAATATTTGATCACATGTTGGTCGGACATTTCCTTCCAGATAACAGCACCTATATCACAAACGCCGGTTCAATTCAGTGTACAGTTGCCTCTGTATAAGAAAAAAAAAAGCCTCCACTCTCACGCCAAATGACAACCGGCACCGCTGATACAGAGCCCCATTGTTCTTAATGTCATGCTTATGGCAAGTGTCACAGGTAAGTGGCACATGTTGCTTTTTTTAAACATGGGCACCGCACAAAAAGAACATACATGCATGCATAAAATATAAAGCCCTCACTGCCAACACACAGCAGCCCTTCCAAGACTCCAGCCTACATCACATCCACACATTGCGCGCAGACACAATGTAATATTTCCTTACCTCTCTCACTGTACCGGCATATCCTGAGCCGAAGAAATGCCACACAATCTTTTTTTTCACACAAGCTTTGTCAACATCAGCCTCATCAGACATGGGGTCTCGATACTGAGTTTCTCAAGTAGCCACTGAGTCCAACCCTTCCAGCAATGCGTTGCCAGACTAAATGGCAAGCACGACTATTTACTGGTAATCATCCTTTATATGCTGTGTGTTTCCATTGCTACTTACCATTTTCCCCTACGCTGTCCTGGAGATAGAAGTGTCTTAATATCCACTCACTCCAACAGATGCTGGTAGGTAATGTGTCTTGTTTGAAGTCATCATATGAGAACTTCTGCTGTGCTCAGTAGATCGCCCACCACTTCGCTGACTTATGAATCTAATAACCCTTTGCAATGTCGGCGTGCTTAAACTCTCTTAGGCAACACCTTGGTGGCTCTACAGTAAAGACAAATATCAACAAGCCTGGGTTGTCAGAAAAGCTTGTACAGATATAGGCTACGTAACACCCTCGCCCGGACAACGCCATTAGGGGTCTTACGTGATTGAAATAAGCGACGGCAATCCAAGTTTATGGGGATACCAGTCCCTGACTGATCGCTCCTTCACTGCCTCAAATCTTTAAATCCGCATCGAGCAACAATCATAGACACATAAAAACTTCTGAGACATATCCATATTCACGTGTTTGTGTTATAGACTGTTAACTCCCTCTTTGGCGAAGGGCCATAGGCCTATTACGCATACGCACAACTGGTCATTTAGATCTTTTCGATGCACAGCCAGGTCGCTTTTACAAAACAAATATCACATTAATAGCGCCCCTGTGTCTGCCTGTCAAGTTCTTGAGGAACTTGTTGCTGCTCAAAAAGAAACCCCCCCCTCCGCTTTCCCTTTTTTTGTTGTTGTTGCTGCTGCTGGACCAAACACTCTTACCATATACTTACATTGCCAAATTCTGTTAAAGTGCTGCGTATTTTCCCCCGAACAGATAGAACAGAAAAAAAGTTAATCCACGTCCTCCAGAAGCGTGATCACACCGAGAGAAGCGACCAGAGCGTTATAAGCCAGGGATGGTACTTTTCGATCAGGAATATCTGGAAGTTCAAAGATGAAATCTGTTTTCAGTAAAATTCCATCAGTTGCACTGCCAACACTCAGCCATCTGATTGTTATGCAGTGACGAAGCGCTGTGCTTGCAAGTGAAGCCCCAAATGTACTAAGTAACATGAGTAATAGGTGATATTTGCCTGACTCTTTGCCAGCATCCCAAACTTTCTCTAGAGTGTTTGTAAGAAAAGTGTCATTCTTGTGGTATGAATTACTTTTTTTGTCACAGTTTATGGAAATCACGCCGCATGGGTGGCGCGTTATTGGAACCTGTAGGCGTGCGTCTGCAACGAGACAATGGCACCAATCTGACACATCCTGACTTCTCACACAAAACATTATAAAAAAGAAGCTGCTCATCAAAGTCTCTAAGGTAACTCGATGCCATTCAGACCTGCTCCTCTGGCACACAGTGGCTTTAAAGGAGGGGATACACCTTTTTTTTCATCATATATGTGCCAAGATTTGAATATTATTAAGCAACATTATGACTTTGGGAAAAAAAGAATTATGCAAGTTTCTGTGTTGTCAGTGTCACTTGTCAATATTGTACCACCAAACTTCTGACACATTCAAAAGTATTTTTCTTGGCCAACACTTGATTCTAATTTTGTCTGACTACGCACGTACTCTGTCATCTTTGCTTGTAGAGGCAGTGGCCAAAGGATGAAAAAAAAAACCCCCTTATTTTCCTTGCAGTTTTTGTCAATACATTTCTGTCTCAAAGACACAAGATGGCATAATCAGATAAAATTAGAATCATTATTCGCCAAGGAGAAAAATATGTACTATTTCATGTACCATACAGGCAACAAGTGCTGGACTTGAGATTCACACATAGCTTATTATCCTTGAACTCACTCCTTTGTAGGCTTTTCACACGGTGGCTACTCATTACAGGCTACTAATAAAAGGGAGTGACGTAAAGAGAGAGGTAACACATATCAGCTCGGCGTGGACAGCATGCTGTGGATGAACAATCCCCTTTCGCTCGCTTCACATGATTAAATGATCAGGATGTATGTGTCCCGTCACCTCTCGGGCTCCTACCATCGTCCTACTCCCGGTCCTTTTTGTTTCCTGACGTGGTAACTTGACTTGCTCCTACTTGTGATGTTGTTAACACTTCCTCTGCTCCCACAGCTTTTCGCAGACTCTGTTACTGACTCATGCTCGTCCCTTTTCCACTATCCATGCCCTCCCCCGCACTCTTCACCACAATATCTTATGGCTGAGTCCGAGGTCACAGATCAATCACTTCATCCCCTGGGCTGCATATGACTGCATGGCATTTTGCTCTATGGTCTGCCAAGATACTTCACCTCTTTTGAGCTTACTCTTGGAACTTTTAAGTGTTTGAGTGGAATATATTTTGGCAGAGGGAGTGTTATTAAAATGTGTAGCCAACGGGCTGCACCGTGGGATAAATATGGAGATGAATGTGCACCATTACTGATCTCCGTGGCCTGTAAAGAAAGACTGAGATCGGTATAGATATTGATATTCATTAGGTACAGTAAACAGAGCGAAGAAGATGCATGATGTAGGAGTAATAGCGGGAATGGTCACTCTTTAGCGGCTGGCTCATTACCACTTGTTCTTATTACTCTGTCTTTACATCCGAAGCCGCAGCAACCTGTCTTTAAGATGTGATCTTATGCGATTTAATCCAACAGTCTGCCTATAAAAGCCTCAAAATGAAAGCCGGCTCCGCCTTCTCAAATGACAACTGTACAAAATGAATCGCCCCCCACGAAAGAAAAGTATTGTTAAAGCCATTTTTAACACTGCAGTCATCATACTTCCCTGTTTACATCTGCTAATTACATTTGGGCCCTGTCTGGTCTCTGGAATCATTACTAAAATGTAGAGTGCCAGCCTAAAATTTTGAGTCTATCAGCACTTTCCCCCCGTCACCGTAATGACAACTATTAAGCGAGGATGGATCCAGTCAGTGGCTATGTGTATCATTACTCTGTCTTAATCTTTGTTCCATAAATATTGATAACAAGAGCCCCACGTCATGTGTTACTAGTACCTGCAGTTAAAAATAGAAGGCCTGCTGATGGCAGGTTATCTCTTACTGTCAGATCCCCCCCCCCCTACCTCTTGTATCTACAGGAAGTTGAGCTCTGGGACAAACAAAGAGCAGACAGAAAACAACAAATACTCTGATTACACACCAGTAAATCAAACTACTGTTACCTCATGTCTCCTGTCTTCACCCTTTAACAGTCAAAGTGTAGCTCTTAAAAAATAAACTGCCACGTGCTATATATATATAAAGTCTACATTAATTTACATGAAACCATAATTTCTTCATAATGAACCAGTCAAAATAGCTTAATCCAGTCACCCTGTTGACAATGTACTTCTTGCTGTACATCTGTCATTCTGTCGTGCAGCTTCATAATATTTCTGTGGAGTGTGGAATTAATTATCAGGCTCGGTCGGTGACTCAGAGCTCAGGTCTTCAGAAAGTAATGCAGCCCCGTAAATAATCGCCCTACTGCCACCATACTTCAAACTGATGGCGAGCTCTGCATTTGTGCTAATTTCGCCGTTCTATGTATAGTGTGATGGACAGTGTCAGGATGGATGAGATTTGGGTTGCCCCAGTGGCTTGGCAGGCTGAAATTGGACTCAATGTGCTGGTGTGATATTGAGGGTTTCTATCTGGCTTTGCTGCTGCGCCGTATCATCTGTCTTCCCCCGACCATCTTTTACCAGTTAAACACCAGGTGACTATGTAAACTCTGTCTTTAGTGCCGGAGGGGAGGAATCTGGAGCTCTGGGTGTGACATATAAGCGCATTGATCTCCTAACTCTGACTAACCTCGGTCTGCTCGACAGCCTGGAGTGGAGGATGCTGCCTGTCTGCCATTAGCTTTATGACTGCCTGGGTGAGACGGGTAATCTGGGCCTGCCACTGGACTGAGAGACTGCCAAACTACTGTAGGCAACGAGGAGAGCAAACACAAAAAAAATGCATTTAAATTATCCAGAATATCTTCGACAAGTTGAATTTCTTGGACAACAAAAACAGTGAACACAGAAATATGGATCCAAACTTGTGTGAGATCAAATATCGCCCCCGGACTGTGACTTATTCATGATCGAAATTAATGCAGTACAATTGTTTTTCAAATCTGCAGCATTGTGTTCTGAGATGAGATTGTGTGTGAGTGTTTGTGTAAGCCTGAATGTCTATGGAGTGGTGCGAATTTGAATAGATGTATTTGCATCTTGTTGCTTAGCCAAAGGCATTATTGGTTCCCAGTGGTAGTGACCTGAAATTTTGCATGCACGGCAGCTCTGCAAATGGTAGCCCCTTTATGATCAGCCAAATATTGCACAGTAGAAGTGTGAGGCACTGACCTTCGATGCAGCACATACATGTAACACACATCGGCAGGGATGGTCACATTTCATGATTGTCTCTGCTTCCCAGTTTTTCTGCTGAACTCTACGAGGAAAAGAGAAACAAAAATGTTTAAAGGAACAGAGTGTAAGAAAAGTACAGACTGCAACCAGCTAAAACTTCTCCTGGTTAGAATTCCTTCAGTGTTCATTGTTCATGAGGTTTTTACCAGGAGCCAAACTATCTGCAGAGGTTTGTTCCTCTCCAAAACAAACACCCTAGTTGATTAAAACCAGTAGAAACACTGAATAAAGCAGTCTCATATTATGATTCAGTGTTTGTCCAATGCTATTTGGCATGTCAGTGACGGGCCGCTAGCCTAGGACCTGTTTATGAGTGCTAACCTTTGTTGTCTGATAACTTTATGCGTGCTAACCTTTTTCTGGTCCAGACATTCAGGAGGTTTTCACTGTGAGCTGAATTATCCAGAGTTCTCTTCCTCTCCAAAATAAACAGACCAGGTGATTAAAACCAGTAAAAACACTTAATAAAGCAGTTTCACGTGTTTCTGCTATGCTGTTTGGCATATCAGAGATGGGCTGCTAGCTTAGCATCTGCGATGGTGTCCTCACCCATTTTCTTTGATAACTTTGATAACAGAAAAGAAGCTAAAATATCCCGAATATGGCTGCTGCCATCTTGTTTTGGTGACATCATTCGGAGCCAGAGTCTGCGTAATAGCATTCTTGTATATCAAATTTCAAACTTTTACAATTTAAACTTGTCCAGCCAATCGCAAGCAGTGCCACTGAATGCGAGCCTACCAATTGGCTCACACAGTTGTCAATCATGTTTTCAAATTACTGCAAATTATAGAATTAAATAACTAATTAAAACCAAACTAATCAGAAAAATAAACACTTGTACATACAACAGCGTGATAAAAACTACCTTAAATAACAGAAACCATTTTTGCGAAAAATGTGTCTGGTGTGTACTTTGAGTTTTTAGTTTGGCCCATGTTGCACCCACTAACATGAAGGGGGGCGGGGTTTATGACCTATACTGCAGCCAGCCACCAGGGGGCAATTGAGATGTTTTGGCTTCACTTTGGGGAGCTGTCATGCCGTCCATCTTTACATACAGCCTACGATCCAGACGCTTG